CAAGCACCTTTGTGCAAGCATTGAACCTTTTTCGGGTACCGCTATCGGAACAATCTACTGAAACTGTCCAACAACTCTGTGACAGAAATGGAAAAAGGTACCCCCCCCCCTCACTTTACTAGGATAAAATCTGCAGTATACACTAACGCAACGAGAACTTACACGACCAGCTGGTGTAACCCTGGGCCAGCTGGACTTCCGTCGGCTGGAAGAAGGAGCCCACAACGAAGTCCACCATGGCTGTGAGTAGGATGATGAGCAGGACGATCTGAGCCTGAACGAAAGACCGGGTGGTTACGCGCACACCAAAAACTGTCCAGATCAAAAAAAAGAAAAATTAAATGTCCGTATGCACACTGCGCAACACTGTGAAGCCGCCGTCACGTTCTGCTCGTAGGTTATACAAAAGACAGGGTGGTAGCTGCAGGCACGATGACATGTGCGGACACGCGTCAAGCGTTATCGGAGCACGTATGACGGTCTTTGTATTACCAATGTGACCGTCATACAAGGAAGGCCTCAGACAGTGTATGCGAACTGCCTTTGGTATGATGCACTACCAGTGGGACCGAGGCTTTAACCGACACTAGCATTTTGATTCGCAGGAGTGTCAATAGAGTTTTAGGAGGTCGGCCTGATGACTCGCATAACGATACCAGATCGCCTTTGCACATAGAAATTAACGTTATCGGGGGCATCGTTATCGGAGGGTATCGTTATCGCGGGTATCAGAACGATCTACTAAAACTCTCTAAAGGCGAATTCCATTGGTTGTATTGGTGCGCGCCGAGATCGACTTTTCTTGAGCGCGCCTGTTTCACTGTGCGACCGGGATCGAGACGGACGTGTTCCACTCGTCGTTTTGAATCGGCCCCCGCTCCAGATCTCAATCCGAACCCGAGAAAAGACGCTCCGCCGATTTCGACGGATTCGACCGGAAGCCAGCCTGGTCAGCCCTCGGCACGCGCACACGTGACTTCTTTTGCCGCCCTGCATCTCGCCTCGGAAGAATTTGTAATGGCCGCTCGCGAAGTGGTGCCCGCTTTACTGCTGCTACTGCTGCTGCTTGATGACAGTTCGTCGTCAGGTTGCTCGAGCAGCTCCTCCAGCAGCGGGCGGCTCGAGTAACAGCGACGACGACGAGCATTGCTTGCATGTCCCGCATGAATTCGGCTGCCTTTACGGACCTCCGCAGAAGAGGCCGAAATTCGAGACGTACTTGGACACCGCTCACGAGTGTTTCGACGAAGAGGCAAGTGGGCTACGCTTACGTACATCGCATATCGACACGCATCTTTCACAACATAATTAACTTCGCTAGTGCGTCGAACGCGTGTTAGCCACGCGATTTCGAAAAAATTTGCTTCGAGATCCGGGACCGCGGGAAGGGTATTGCCGGGAAGGTAAATGACAAGAGGGCACCCGCCGACTTCGGACGAGTGGTCATGGTCCTCTGAGCATCCGGAGGACGTTCGGATAGCGTGCTCCATCTGATCTGGTCTACTGATCCCGGCGCGCTCTAAAACGACTAGTGGAATTCGCCGTGACGTTCGGAGCGACGTGGGAACGGACCTTCGACTCCCATTCTGTTCCGATGAGTGCGATGCAGAGAAGCACGATGACTGTCGCGCAGCTGATGATCCGGATGTCGTTCATCGAGCCGTCCACGATCAGCGTCTCCTTGCGCTAAAATAGAAAACAAAGAATTAACATGGATTACACGATTGTTTTAAAAAAGACAAAAGCTACATTAAATAAGTGTGCAGTTGAATCATACGACCAGCGGGACATAATATATGGTGCTAATGGTCAGTATAAGTCTGATAATTCACCAAGATTTGTTTATTACTTTTTCTAAGTAGTAAAATAAACGCACGGTTTCCGATCAGAAACTTGCTGAGCGTCACCGAGAAAACACTAAAGCCATAAATTTTAGAAATTTTGAGGCAGTAGAAGTGCGGTAGTGCGCTAAAGTTACCACGAAACGCGAATGATAAAAATATCATCCCCGTTTTCGCGTCGCCAGCCTAGTGCCTGCTGCACGAGCAATAGACCCCTTTCGGAGTAGAGCGCCACCTGTTGCACGCAACTGCAACTAGGTCCGCCGCCATTACGCAGGGGTCCCGCCAGAACCGCCTGCATCTTACCGCCTACAACGGTGCTGCTTACACTTTGAGTCCCAGTCTGCGCGCGCCGCATCAATATGCCATCGCATTGCTGCGTACCTTTGTGTACGCAGGATTGATACGTTGACGGAGACGGAAAAAGGTACGTGTCAGACAAGTTCTAAAGTGTTCAAAAAGAAAAACCGAGTCCTCGTGTTGTTTACAAAAGTTTCACGGGTTAGACAAGAAAACGCTCTTATCATCCGTAAGCGGAAGCATCGCAAACGATTATATGGTGTAGTAGTGTGGCCGTGTGTCGAGCCGCGTCTTTAACTAGAGAGGTACGGCCACGGTTCAGTGCGCGGCTCGCATGCGCGAGCGGCTCCCTCCTTCAGTGCTTCTTCACCGCAACCGAGGCCATTTTAGGTACTTGTTCGGCGTGTAGATGCATGATTACTTCTTCCGCAAGTTCGTTTCCTTTACTCACGCCGGTAAAGAGTTTTCCAGAAAACAGACGTCGGGTGGACTAAATGCAGTGTACACCGAATCTGAAGATCCCTGAACCCGCCTTGCGATCGTGGGAACTTTTGGGGTGGTGGCCTGAACAGAGTGCCAAGGCCGTACCGCTAGACGTTTAGGGACGTTACGCTACTAATCAGTTTGGAAATTTGTGAGAATGCAGCCAAAGAGTTGATGTTTAGAGCATGTTCAACAATTGTTATTCTGTTCAACGGTTTTTATTCCTGAACACATTGTATGTTGTTCTTGGGTCTTCTTGCTTCGGTAGCAGGAACCCTTGATGAAGAAACCTCCTGCACTGAATGGGATAAAAAAAAAATTATACACCGGTTTGACACTCAAACAGCTATGCATATTTTCTGTGCAAATAAAGATCAGTTCCAGCACACATTTGTTTTTGTTTTTTTTGTTTTTTTTGCAATGTCGCATTCCGGGTGCGTTCAAACAAACGTGGTACGTTTAAAAACGCCTAGAAATAAACCCACTACATCAGTGGTTCTGGAAAGTCTACTCTGTAGCTTTGTGAGCAATGCCATAAACCGCTTAATTTCTTAGTCTTTAAAAGGTGACCGAGGAAGGAATCTAAAATGCTGCTCCACCCACCCGTACAACCTTTTCTGCTGTTCTGTACGATTTGCGATTGCGATTTCTCGAACTCTCAAGGTTGTGACTCGTGAGGCACCTTTTGCAGTTACTGGTACGCGGTCGTAAGTTTATTGGAGGGGTACGAAAAACGAAACGAGCGAGTTCTCGGCTGTCACCGAACGACAAGCTCATGACGGGGGCAGCGTACCGGGTCGTTCGGAGTGGGCACGCTAAAAGCGCGATCACTATGATTAACTGTATTAAAATTATGAAATATTACTAAAAAAAATCACTACAAAACAAAAAAGAACTTGCCTGTTCCGTGAGTAGTTAGCCCTTATCGATGCGGGGACCATGTATGCTTCGACGAAGAAGTTGTAGCTTCTTTCCATGCACCGGTTTGTGCCTGACCGGCTCCTGTAGAACTGCTCCACCTCTCTGTCACTTATATGTGGGAGTATCGATAGATCATTAGACCAACAGGTGATCGCGGGAAAACACCCGCACAAGCCATAGCTCAAAACGCTACGGCGGCTACGCTGCACGCCGACCGGTCGAACCCTGCGTAATGGCGGCGATCACCCAATGTTGCTAGATGTTTTACTATTCCCGCTAAATTTTTTTCAGTGTTGCCAAAATTCCGAAAGGGGTCTATAACTTTAGAGCACCCCCGTTCTTCACGCGTGCTTTCAAGCCTTTCTAAAATCGTCCGATTTACGGAGCTTTCAGACGGCTGCTAATTAAAACCGGTACATCTTGACAAATAAGAATGTTAATTAATAAAGCTTAGGTCATTAGATTAGTATTTTTTTTTGCAATCCCGGATGTCCCCCGTGACTGGCACATTGTTCACGAAAAGAGCTTCTCTTTTTCTTTTTTTTTTTTCCTCGACCACTTCTGTTTGAGGAATTTTTGCAATAACCGAAAGGTCCCTTCATGCCTCTTAAATATTTAAGAAGAAAACCACTGGCACGCTATAGAACAAAGCGCAAAATAGCTCATTTCCGGGGCCACGCAACATCCAAAAGAAAATTTCAAACCTCGCAAGGGCCTCTCTACTTTGCTGCAGCATTTTCGCCGGCGTTCGGACGAACGACGCTTACCCTGATTTCGAAATGGGAGCCCGACCGCTTACTTCCGCGCCTCTTTTAATGAATTACTGGCGCGCCCCCCAGACACTTTGCTGAGCGCGGCATGCCGGAGAACTGCGTGCCTCGTAGTATTGAAAACAAGTGAAATTGCTCGCTATCTAAACTCGTGCTTGCTTGCTTTTTTTTTTTAAGGAGTTTAACGCAATTTTTATTCTGCTTAACTTGTCCTCATAATAAACTTCCTTCAGGGAGCAGGTTTTTCTTTTTGTTTACAAACTCCAGTCAAAGGCGATTCACACGCTTGACACTGATTTCTACCATGTGCCAAGAAACCTCTTAAAATCTCCAAGAGAACAAGCTGGCGCAAATTACCCGACAGCCGTGGAACATTTGGCAATTCTATATATTTTCTACCTTTTTCGCGCATCGTTTTCTATTTTCTTGGTTCAAAAAATTCTGATGTTATAAACGACCAACTAGCCGCACCAAGATCGCCATGGAGGATAAACGTACTGAAGTCGCCTGTCGGCAATATAAACTTCTTTGACACTGTACGCAATCAACTTATCAATCACGCCCATCTCTACGGATCTTTTACGATTATACTGTTCTTGCGTATTGGAAGACAAGAAAATTATTTTGTATTTCAATTTTGTATAATTTATTCGAGTTCCCCGATTGTTTCATGCTTGTGTTTTGGCTTTTATATTGTTCAAATTCTGATTACACCCCCCCTTATGTGATGCCCTTAACGGGTCCTTAAGGTGAAATGAATGAATGAATGAATGCATTTGTCAATGCTCCATCTGGTGGCGGTACGGAGCAGTACGCTTGTTTCGCCAGTGTGTGGACAGTAAAATATCGGTATACAAGAAACGTCTGTGTAAAGCTACCCGTCACCAAGGAATAATAGATTGGCTTACCAAGAACGGAAAGATCAGGGAGAAATTGTCATGTAGGCTCACGAAATGAGCCTACATGACAACCGTGCAAGGTGCTTGGCGCTATTTTTCCGGCATCCGGGGACTTTATGTGGCACAGGAGATGAGAGAGGGGTTAACGCTTCGCCGAGTCGCACGAGAGAGTCGCGTGACCTGGCCTTGTCGCAGAGCGCGCGAGCTCGGCCGCTGTCCAGAGCGATGAGCGGATATTGTAGATTCACGGCTGCCGGAGCGGCGTCTATCACAGTCTCAAACAGGAGCCCGTCGCGTTGAAGCGAGCAAACGAGCAAGCGGGCAGATGAGAAAGGACGCGCGTGCGCTGTGTGCCGTTCTCGGCAGCAGGCGGCGCGGCGTTCCGGTGTTACGTCACTTCCGTGACCAATTTTTGTGGCATGCACCTGCCAGCCTTGCACCCCTTTCTAAGCGCGGCAAAAAACGTTGTTCTACGTAAAAAAAAAAAAAGTTCGCAAATTTTAGAGCGCATCTTTTAGGTGCCCGTTTACTTCAGCGGCGTCGCCGTCGCCGTAACCGACGCGTTGCATTATGGGACGTATTTCCGCTAAAGTTAGAGGAGAATGTATTCGCAAAATTTAGCGGGGAAAATGTTTCGCTAACTTTAGCGGGGATAATTTTTAGCTAATTTTAGCGGGAAAATTTTTCCCATCAATTTAGCGGGGAAGTTTTTCCGTTGAATATAGCGCAAAAATTTCCCACTAAATGTAGCGGAGAAATTTGTTAAATTTATAGGGAAATTCAGCAAAAATTTTCCGTTAATTGTGAAGGCAGCTTGAGAAGAGGACGGACATCCCCTCCCCTCCTCAAGAGCTGCGGTCTAATTCGGTATTACAGAGAATTGTAAACGTCTCATCTTTTTGTCTGACTAGCGAGGAGAATAAAAAAACAAATCACTTACCGTGAGCACGGATTGGACCGTTTCCGCGAAACCCACGACGTACATGGCCACGGCCACGGCGTTGGCGAGAGAAAAGATGAGTCCAATGGCGCCCCCAAACTCCGGGCCCAGACTCCGGGATATCATGTAGTACGTCCCACCTGGAGACAGTGAAATAGAATTGCAATACTCTTTATAATGGTAGCTAGCACCAATTAGCATTAAAACAAATGATTCCTCCCCTGCCCCCTCCTCTCATTTGTGTAACTATCACAAGGCCCAAGGGGGGGGGGGGGGGGGGGGCGGGGGGGGGGGGGGGCGGGGGGGAGGGATTTGCCGCGAAGGCCTTCGGGAAATCGGGCAAAAAAAAAAAAAAACCGAAACAGCAATCCCTGCCTCCTCCCCCTCCTAGCGCCGAGTGAGTAGTCAATTTTGCTATGGTCGAACCTTGTAGTTGTAGGAGTCGCTCCAATACCAGATTCACTCGGGAACTGAATTAAGCAGGAGTGAGCAGGGTAGCCAACATGCCATAATGCGAAAGCGAAGGTACCGGATGAAAATAGTTCGAGGTGCCGGTTGACCAAATCTGCCAAAGTGATTGCTAGGCCCATCGAAATTTGCTGCACCTGAAACTACGCCCAAAAGTCCCATAACGACCACTAGCAGACCCGTCAGCACATCTAACGCACCAGATACTAGACATGAAACACCTGTAACTACACCTACGACGTTTGTAGCTGCACCCAACCCGTCAGCTGCTACACCTATCATACCTGTGACTACCGTAACTAGTGTAACTGCACCTAGCATACCAGCAAATACAGGTAACACACCGGTAACTGCACCTAAGACACCTATCACTACACCTCAAAAGCCTGCCCCTAACATAATGCACACGCAGCTAGACCAACCACATCTACTTGTGTATCTAACATAAATGTGCCATAGTTAATAACAGGCTAAGAGATTCCGGGAAACTCCTCCCAGCTCTTTCCACTTCACCAGAGTGAATGTTGGAGAGGAGGCGACCCCATCTCCAAAGTTTCTTCTGCTAAAGTGGGAAGGGATGGGAGGAGTTTCCCCGAACTTTTAGCCTGTCACTGAGTAAATCCAACATCTGAAATCCTGTGACCAGGAGATTAAACCTGTTCTCGCGAAAAGAAACAAAGGTGCTCGACGAAGAACGGGATAGCACCGTTTTTAATTGCCCCATTTTGACGCAGTAAATTGGTGCTTATTTTACTAAGGTCAGCCTGTCTCAGCGCCTACGGTGCGGTGCAAACGAGACGACGTAGACTGTAGCGCAAACAGCGCGACTCATGCCTCCCGCAGAAGATCCGCTCTGCAAATGTCACTTTCCCGCAGCGCACTGGTGCGCGGGAAGAAGCCGCACTCAACAGCGGTTGCTATGCAGGCTGAAAATGCGTGGAAGCGTGAGGTCGGTCTGCCTTTGAAGTATGTCGACACTAGTATGTCAACACCTAACCTGGCAGTTTAGGCCCAAAGTTGCCACATTAGAACCGAACCACCAGAAGTGAATCCCAACACTGGCCCTTGTTTGACGAGTTCGGCCGAAAGATGCCAGAGGACAACCAAACTACCAGCAGTTAAGCCTAGCTTTGGCGCTGGTTTGACGAATAAGGGCCAAGATGCCCAGACTCTGGCGAAAGAAGGCGAATTTTTGTGACTCCTTGGCTTCTTCGGGCATTTTAAGGCCCTGAATATCCACAAAAAAAACCGAAGTTTGGTTCAAAGAACTGTGCTAGCTTGAATTACGCATAAGTCGTTGCGCAAACGCGTGCAGGTTCATGCATAGGCTCAATTTATCTCTGCGTTCAGAAACACTAACTTTCGCTCTTTGTATTTGCTGCTTGGATAGCGATCACCGGCGCGAAGTTTCGTGTGACAACTTGTCAGTATCAACGTCTTAAGCTTCTGAATGTGATCTCTACTAAACACGTAGCTACGACGTTTATATAGCGTTCAATGTTTCCGCCATTAACTAAAATTTCGTTAAAAAAAGTGATTTACACTAACACTTTATGGGATTTCCCTCAAGACAGAAAAATGCTGACAGAGCATCCGGCATCATAAAACACACGCAAAAGAACAAAGCTCCAAAAAATGAATGGCAAATCGATAGGCAATTGTGTTGCATACGTGAAACGTTCTGGCAGCACAAATGTTTATATAATCCTTTAGCGGAACGACACACCTGTTCAGCCAGACGCTCACGTTCACGTTGTTTTTCATCAGATAATTTAACGCGCAGATTGTGTGCACTTGAACTGATAAGCCTGATGATCTTCCAGACCCTTCTAACCCACTCCTCTCCCACCTAGCCTCCTCGTCACTCTACTCCTGGTCACATGACTCCCCGTAAACGAATCAGCGTAGAGCACATCCCCCTCCTGTCCCACCCGTCAACCAATCAGTATCGAGCCTCGCGGCCACGCTTTTATCTAGGCTTCACTTTCGAGTTTCACGAAATCGCCGAACACCTAGCCAAAGAACGTTTCACGCTCAAAACGAGGTCGTCTTCGAGCGCCGGCACAGACCTCCTCGGACTTCTCCGTTGGTGCAGATGGCGGACATGGAAAGTGTGGTCAGCATCGTCACCGCCGACGCTAACAAGATGACCGCAATGGCGAGACCTGCAAAAAATTAAAGAGAAACATTCTCATCCTGTTTTTGGTAAGCTCTCAAGCAACGGCCTGTAGGCCTCGCCAATAATCACTCCCTGCCAATATCACTTAGAAAAAAGACATTTTTACCCCGACCGTCTTCACTAAGTAGTGGATCCACGCAACGCCGCTGTCCTCAAGCTTCAGCACGGCTGTCGCTTGGGGGCGAGTCGGGGACCCACTAACGATGACGTCATGCACAGGCCTTGTCAATACTCGTTATCTCTCCCCCCCCCCCCCCAGCCCCCCCCCCCCCCAAAACAAAATCTAGTAAGGACTACTTTGCGCAGCGCATTAATAATGAGCTGCGCAAAGTAGTCCTTATAAGATTCGCTCGTCGAAGGAAGGAACTTTTTTTCACGTTTGATACGCGTACGTCGTGACAATATAACAAATCTAATGTTAGATGCGCCAACACATATCTTAATTCAACGCATGAGGGAGGGGTCGCCCAGTTATTTTACTACGGTTCTCGAGGTGCATACGAGTATAGGAGGTATTGGCTCTCCGCGCTGCCGTCTCTGTCTGCTGGGGCTGTGAAACGAATTGTGAGCGAGAGCGGCAACTCCCTTTTCCCGAATATTAGACGCCGGGCACGCGCGTCCACAGACCGGTGATTCTGCCGTTTTACAGCGACGCTGTTTATGGCTTGGGTTCCATGGATTTTTCGTGTGCGTCAACAAAAAACCCGGAGAGGGCTCGCACCGCCCTCTCTTCGTCGTCGTTCCAAGCCACTTGCGTGCCTAGTTTCCTTTCCTTCCGCCGGGTGGCGGGCCCATCGCGCGTGTCTAGTTTCCCCCGGCTTCTTGGGGCGGCGATAGTCCTCGACATGTGCGCGCACCTTTTGTCGCGATGACCACCGATCAAGACAATCAACGTTTTCGTACGTTTGTTCGAAATTCTGTGTGAAGTCTGTGTCGTGTGCTAAACAGGTTCGCGGCGGCGACGCAGCGCGGCGGCGCGCGGGCCTACCACGTGACCAGCGGCGGCTCCCGCGAGCGCCAACTACAAATTCGTATAGCGCCGTAAATATGGCTCTAAAATTTTTTTTTTCTTCGTTGTAAAATCGTTTTATGACATCCTTTTTCCATCTAAGCTGTCTAAAAAAAAAATTATTTTTTTTCCCTTTGCATGTGTTCTTTAACGTAACAGGCCACACCCCGCGTTCGAGGACTATACGGTACGAGTATCGATTTCACTCTTTTCGTAAAAAAGGAACGAGAAGCGACCGACTCACCGATTCCCGCCTGTCCGACGACCCAGGAGAGTCGAAGGAACAGCATCACACCCCAGATGTTCAGAAGGCATCGCACCTGTGCAAAATTTGATTGAAAAATTTAGCGATTGAAAGTTTTTTTTTAGTCGGTGTTTTCTTCCGATAGACTTTATTAATGGGCAGAAAAAGAATGAATCATATAGTGTTCGCAGTGCATCAAATTATGAAAAGAAAAGTTGGTTCGCTCGTTCCATAGTACCGCTCTATTTTGTTTTGTTTAAGGACAACATTGAACCTCGGTTAGCTTGAGCGAAGATTTAAAACTATTCCGATGCATTTTAGGAAGACGAAATTAAACAAATGAATGTGTTCATTGTTCGAAACAAGTCCGGCTATTTCTTTTTGTACGTTTAACCAAACAAGATTAATAAATTAACTCTTAAAATATTCAATTTAGAAAAAAGTTCTAAAGACAAAGTTGTAGAGCTTCCTTAGAAACATTCAATTCAGTGGTTTTATCAAGAAACCTTAACCCCTCTTTTTTATGGGCTTCAAAAAACATTTGCGAATTATGAAAAAGAAATAAAAAATTATGATTTTGCGCATGTGCACCTTGTATTGCAGCGCTCTTAGCCATGCCTCAAACTAGGCCTGCATGCTGAATAAAGCACTGTTCCCGCCGTTAACATATTCGCATTTTTTTTTTGCGTTTTCTTTTTTTCTTAATTTTGGGCATTTTTTTTTTAAACCCGGAAAAACAAACCGTGTTAGAGGTTTCTTGATGAAAACCACTGAATTGAACGTTTCTGAGGACGCTCTACAACGTTTTCATTGAAACCTTCGCTTTGAATTGAATATATTACACGTTAATTGATCTTAACTAATTAGTTAATTGGGCAAAATACAAAAAATAGCCTGACTTGCCCCGAACAGTGAGCAAACTTATTCTTTTGGTTTCGTCTTCATAAAATGCACCAAAATATCCTTAAACCTCGGCTCAAGTTACGTGGCATACCCGGCATATACCATTAGCAACAACTTCAATTCTTTCACGTAAAATATATTTACACAAACCTCAACATGTAAAAAAAAAAAAAAAAATCAGCTGGAGAATAAACAAATAGCTTGTTTGTCTGTTAACTGCTTTATGCCGTGAAGTCACGATCACAAGGCCAATGCATCGTGCAAAAAACAGTGTGCAGACTGTTTTTTGCAAAAACTTACCCTATAAAATTTCAAATAAAAAAAATGTTCATGAAGATAAGATCCGTACCAGGACTCCTTGAATCCATCCGAATTTGGTTGCCGGCGACAGGTTCACCTCCTTGTCGATCTTTTCGCTGAACGACTTGGACTGCAAGAACACAGAAAGAATCGTAATGCAACACACCCGAGACTATGGCGAGGCAAATTTAGAAAAGCATCTTTATAAGCATACAAGATATTGGACCTGGTCTTATTACTCGTAACAAAGCTATTTTCTCCAATATTATTTTATTATATCATTACCATTACTGCGCTTGTGATTCATAATTTAGGGATGACTTAAGTTTTTTTTTTTTTTTTTTAATAGTTAGGGTTTTGCCAATTCTTCGACATTTTTTTATGGTGTGGTGACTGGCCCGCGTCTCGGACTGCTGTGTTTACAGCGCCCTAAAACGGGCTCCCTCGATTTCCCTTCACGAGGTCATCGAAGTGTCACGTTCTCGGCAGCGGTAGTGGATGCTGCAGACGCCTATACCGCTCCAGGGGCCCTAATCTGGACATTTGGCCGAAAACGTCGGCGAGAAATACGGCGGCCATGATTGGCCGGCGACAAGGTCAAGTGCGGCGTTGGCCAATCGGAGCCCGCGAAAGTTCTTGTCGACTTTTTTTCACCAAGTGTCCAGATTAGGGCCCCGGATCGCTCTCCTGGTCAAAAAAAGTCAAATTTGGGGGTTTTACGTTCCAAACCAACGACGGGCATCTGGCACGCCCCAGCGGAGGACTGAGGATTAATTTCGACCACCTGGGGATTTTTTGACGTGCAACCGAAATCTCGGTTACACGGCGTCTTCTCCGCAATAAGCCTCCGTCAGAACTACGGGCACCTCGGCCGGGATTCGAACCCGCCTCAGGGGGATCCGTAGGCTGACGCTTTCGCCTCGGAGCCACCGAGGCGGCTGCTCTCCTGGTCGGCAGTCCACGGACGTGTCGGCAGCCACGGACTGGCCGTCGTGTCTGCCGAATTCTTTCACCTAGATGCCTCCCGTGTCCGTGGCTTCGACAACGGAGCGCGCTGTATTTGACATCAAACCATTTCTGATATAAACTATCGTTTTTCGTTTGGGCTAGGGAGTAATATGTTTCCTACGCGCATATCTACAGCCGTCTAGAGGCTCCTGCGTAGCTTCGAAGCAATTACGGGCGTGAGCACGATTCCCCAGAGAGTACTTTAATCGAGTAACTGCTAGAACACGTGTGCGAGAAATAAAACCAACATAGGCAAGAACCATCAAAACTTTTAAAAAACCGTCGCACATTTTGTCTTCCCAAGGCCGAACCACAAAAGGGCAATTGCGGTACAGCAATCACTATCCCTTTCATAACGGGACCGCCGAGCGCAATAAACACGCTCGCTTCTCAAGAATTGCGTAAAACGATTTTCGCACTTTCCGATATTCATCGGAATGTAAAACGTTTTTTTTTTTCTTCGTTTTCTTTTATTTAATTTTTAGTCTTAAGTGATCGTTCTTTTCAGAGCAGTGAGCAGGGCTCGGGCCTAATTTCTGTCTTCGCCAATATGACGGCCGCCAGATTCCTAGCCGCAGGTACGTCCCGTAAAACCACCCCATACAATTTTCAGAAAATACAAGGAGTTTTAAATAAAAAAAGAAAAAGCCGTGAAAGGTACACAAATGCGTCTGTGTACGTTAATTATAACGCCGGGGGGGGGGGGGGGGGGGGACATCATACAGAATCGTCACAATAAAACAAATAATTAACAATTTTTTTTATTCAAGATAAATATATGGTTCGGCTTCCAAACGATAACTCGCGTGCACTGACCGCTATACTCACGTTTGTTTCTTTAAAAAAAAAAAAAAATTAAGAAAGCAAACAAACAAAAACAAAACAAAAAACTTGGGAAGACTACGACGAACTTCACCTAAAAGTCGCAGTAACACTGCCCCATCGTGCAAAAGACAAAACGAGGTGTAAAGGATCTACGGACGCCCTTCAAACATGTTTGAGACATGCTTGCTTCATACATAATCTTTCCTCGAACATGCGGAACCTCCTTTCCGCATTCAAGGGCAGAGAAAGGGTCGATCGAAAAGGGGATATTGCACCGGATTTTCGATGCCGCGCGGGAATCCGAAGGAAACTAAAGCGAATTGTCCCGGAACCTTGGCCGCCGTATAGATACGGCTTTACGCACCTCGCTCACGTTTTACGCGGCTCTTTTACGGCGAATTTACGCGGCGATTTTGGCGGCGACGACACCTTCGGGAAGTGTTCCCGTCAACCCGTCAATATTAGAACCGATAAAATGAACGCCAAAGCCATTGAAGGTTTACGACGTCATACCATCCGCGTTTACTTGAACTCGAGATAAAGACGAGATAGAAATTAGCGAGGAATATTGCGTAGCCCTCTCCGAAAGTTCCCCGAAACAAAGAAGTGTAGCCACGGAAGCTGTTTTAAAGCATCAGATGCTTTCTAACGGACCATCCCCCCCCCCCCTCTCCCAACCCAAATCACCTTTTTTGTTCCACGTCGGGTTGAGTCATTTCCGTTAAATTTGGCGATAAAATTGTCGCGACGCGACTTTACGTCAGATGACCTATGCACCCCCTCAGCTTCCTGCGCAAAATTTGGCGGGGAAAGTAATGTCACGTGACCCCTGCACCCAGTGCCCCCCCAAAATTTCACGAGAAAATCGACCTTACGTGAACTACACACAAGTTTAACGTCACCCGACCTACGAATGCGAAATGTAGTGCGGGAATTCCTGAAACACGACTGTTTGATGTCTTCTTATCAAAATTACACGATCGCTTTTTTTTTTTTTTTTTTAATACTAGATTTCGTGAACTTTAGGATTATGGAAATCAAGATCGCTGCCATTTTTTTTTCCTCTTATTATAAACATGAAGGCAAAAATTGCGGCACCACATCATTGTTGTAAGCTTTTCACGAAATGTCCGAACTCAGTCGAACGTACCAAGCAATACAACCCCGAACGCACGCACTAAAACTGCGTATCACTGGGCCCTTTCCTGCGCACGATTGACTTAGCGACGATCAAAGACGAGTACAGAAACACGACGAGCACCGCGACATTGCACTATTGACGCTGTTCGGTTGGTCCTATATTGGCTCGTAGGCATCGGCTAAGACCGGCCGAGTGGCGAAACAATCAGTAGAGAACCATGAACCACCGTGTACCAGCGTTTTAACGTCACGAGATCGAGCACAGAGAAATCGGTCGCGAGTGCTACCGCGTCGGCGTTCGGCCTTGCCTCGTGGCCAATCAACGAGTCAAAAAGACTCGGCGTCGGGACCAATTGCACGAGTTAGCGCCACCCGAGTGTGATGACGTCATGTTGAAGTGAAGGCATCGTGTCTTGAAGAAAAAAAACAAAAAACGTTTAGCGCGTTTCTTTTTTTATTTTTCTTTTCCTTTTGCGTGTCGCGAAATGGTTCTCACGAGATTTGAAAGTCGGAGGAAGAAACGATGCCTTTGGGGCTTGAAACGCGTTCGTCTTGATAAAAATAACGTGAGGCCGGTCGCGATTGAGTCAATTGTTGTTGTTGACAGTCAAGTTAAATGACAAATTAAGAGCGCTAGTGTAACTAGAGGGTGTAAGATGCACATACGTACATCTTTATTAGGAATATTAGTAATGTCCCGCCATAAACTAAGCTTTTTTTTTTCTTTCTTTTTACTACGGTTTTTGAGGTGAATTTGAGTGAGGGTTGTGTTCGTAGAGAGCGTGCTAATCAACCGCCAAAACGGAGACCCACGCTCGAACGAGGAACCTTGAGAGCGTTATTTGCTACGTATCAGACGGAGCGAACGGTACTCTTCGACAGAAGAGGATCGACAAACATGGTCGACACACTTTCCTGCTCCGACATCATCTCGCGTGCCAGTTAGGAACTGAGACGACCGTCGTATCTGATAAACTCGCCATCGGTTCATGTCGCTTTCGTCTCATTGTCTCGCCTTCAGCAAATACACGCAGAAAAAAAAAATCGAACATTGATTATATGTAGTTTTCCTTTTTTTTCTTTCTCGCTGGCGCCAGCGACGTTCTTGGAAGACGTAATACGATCGACGCCGATGCTTTTATCTGGCTGGCTCGAAGAGTACCTGCGCTCTTCGCCTCTCGGCGTTCCAGTTTCTATCCTCGGGCGGGGGGGCTGTCAGAAAAACAAGGCGACTTATCGATCACACGGGATCAGACAACACGTCGACAACAGAAGAGATAAACAATGACGGAGATTAAGGAGCGCGCGATTAAAGCCGTCGCCTGGTGCGGATCTATCTTGAGCCTCGACGGAAATCATGGTGTAAGGCGCAAAAAGACAAGGGACACAAGAGAGAAAACAGACATACAGGCGCCTTACACCTCTATCTTGTGTCCGTCGTTTTTTGCGCCTTACACCGTGATTTCCAACGTTCACCAACGAGCCCAACTACAAGTTTTTGAGCCTCGACGTACGGGACGTCGGCTCTAAGGAACGAGTTGATGACCCACGAGCCAGGGACACAATAAAATTATGAAACCTCCCGACCACAGAGAGAGCGAGCTCAAAGTCCCTCAAATTTGTCGTTGCGTGGTTAGGCAGAGTGAGATTATAGTCTGCCACAGTTTTTTGCGACATTTTGAGACGGTGTACGCTGTCGAAAATCAGTAGCGTCCGCTTTCCCGCGTTGCAATTGAGACAGCCAATCGCCGAAATCTACAAAAGGAGCTTGGTGAGTCGTGAGGTCGACACTGGTCATGGTGAAACGTCGTGCCTGCGGTGTTACAGCGCAGTCTGTTTTTGTGGGTGTAAACAGAGTTTTGCTTCGGCTTTAGTCGAATAAAGGACTGGAGCGTGATTTTTCTTCTTTTGCACAGTGTTGCCAATGTCGTGTTTGATTGCGATCTACTTTTGAGCTTTGCCAATTCTCATGTTTCTTCACGCGGTACTAGATATTTACTCTCTTACGTTCGTTCCATATGCAAGGCCTTACCAATATCACGTTTGCAGACTTAATACGATTACATAATCTAGCTTAGACATATTCAGTGAATGCGCACTTTTTCTCAACGAGCTGGCAACTGTGATAGCAAGCTTGTAGCGTGTTTTGTACGAA